AAAGTCTGCTATTCAATTAGTCTGGAGTTATACAGCTGATCAAGCAATGACAGCCTTTCTAAGAAGCTATTGTTTTATCTATAAGAGCTTTAACTCTGGGGAAAAAAGTGCATTGCTTTTACATCCTCTGGCTGCACTGGTGCTGCTGAACTGCTGGTGGAGACTGAGCTTAGCAGGTCCTGTCACTGCAGCTATGTAGGATTAAACCCCTGAGTCTGCCTGCAAGCACTATGGGAGCTGCTGCAACACTATGAGGAAAAGATGGAAAAATTGAATTTCCGCATGAATCTGCATAGTTTTTAACAGAAATGTTAAGATTGGTATAAATGCTGTATGACTGGAAATATGGGTGGGTGAAAGCACCAGAACAACAATTAAGAGAGGCCTATATGGATAGCGGGGGATGCCATTTCATCAAATGGAGGAATGCATTGCTGCTGTCGAGCCCTGGAGGCCCCACACTGGTGAGACCACAGCACAATCGGCTCCTGAACAGAAGGTCCCGCACTGACAGCAGGACAGTGGCAGCGGTTGCAGCAAATCACATATGCCAGTCCTCCTTCTGATAGCCCAATGGGCTAACAGCAAGACAATAGCAACAGAATATAAAAGATACCCTAAAGGATATAAAGGATTTGTCCAGAAACTTAGTTCATCATTGACAATCAAGAAGAACCCAGGAGATGAAGCGAGGATTTGACTCGTCCTCCATGTTGTGCACAAGCAATCCTGGTCAGACCATTTGAGCACGTATGCTATGAGACTATGGCTGTGTAAAATCAATTTGCTTAATGACTTTGAATAACACAATCCCCTTCCATAAGATCTTTCAGTGAGTTTTGTAACAGTAAATCCCTATAAACCAACCGAAAGGGAGAAAAGGCATGCTAACCACTGTTGGGTTGCAACCATCACATTGCTGTCATCTGAAAGAAATATGGACATACTGGGTCTCAGTAGCTTTATGCTGTGTGTGCTAAACAGAATTTCACCTCAAAAGAGCAGCTATCCTGGCCCACCTGAGTCCTTTGCAGCACAAGCTTTCCTCCCTAAAGAAGAGGTGAGTGTTACTGGGAGCAGGTGACTGCAGCCATTCCACCCCACCCATGCCCTATGCACTGAAGCATGTATGGCAGCAGCTATAAATCGTGACCTATGAGAGGGGAAGGCAGTTCTGCCAGGGCACAGTGGCCTGTAATCGGGCTACAGTGGACAGTACAACACACCGCACCGCTGGAATCATCTCAAACGATATGGTGAGAAATCAAATAGTAACAACAAAATGCTGGTAGTATCACACCCCACTGTTACCATCAGTCAATAGTCATTACCTTGCACAGCCCTCCATCACTAGCTGGGCGCTGTCATCACCTCCTCACACAAAAGCAGATGAATGGGGAAGCTGGGTGACCGCCCAAAGTCATCCAGCAAACTACTGCTGCAGGAGATCAGTCGGCTTCTTTAAACAAACTGCCCTTAGGCAGGCAGCAAAGCACCTCTCCAAACCACCCTGCTCTTCAGAGCCAGAAGGTACAGGCATGGGAGCAGCAGCCTACAGAGGAACCCCAGCCACTGGCTTCCCCTGGCAAGCAAGGACCCCTACACAGATGGTTGCACAGCACCCCCTCCTGCCAGCAGCCCACAGGAGACCTCTTTGAGAGAGATGGAGACTGTCTCGTTTGGGAATGTTCCTCTTCAGCAAAGCCCTCCGTAAGTGCGGGTGTGCAGCCCTGGAAGCAGAGGGGCTGTCCTTAGAAAAACTGCCCACGTAATGCTAATCCGTGTTACTTTTCATACTGGAGTAAGAGGTGAGAGCTGATGGGACCAAGATCATGCAAACAGGCTTAGCCAAGAGCGACCAGACCCTCCTTTGTGGGGGCACATACTTACTCTGCAGAACCTCAACTCTGAGGTTCACAGCAGCGCTCTCATCACCTTTTGGGCAGATTACCACTGCCGGTGAGGTTCTCACTGCCTGCTCTAAATTCAACATTAGTCAGCTAATGGGATCTCAGGCTTGTTCTGCTTTTACAGTTCTTTGTGCACTCTGGAGTCAGTGGGTCAATACAGGGAACCCTCTTCCACAGCAGAAGGATCTCACCAAAACCCTGTAAAACCTCCAGTTAATGAGAACTATAGCAACTAATTAAGCAGTATCACGGGCACTGTGGTGTGCCACTATGGCGTGCCACCCTGGCACCCTGCTCCCTACCCTTACTTCAAGGTCTCTGTTGCAGTTCTCATGCTCCTCCAGAGGACCAAGCCTGGGAGCCTCTGCGATGCTGTTGGGAACGCGACCTTTAGGAAGTCTGCGCTGTGACAGTGACTAGCAAAAGACAGAATTTTCACAGCCAAATACTCCTCGGTCCTTTAGGGTCCATGTGAGCAGCAGTTACACATGGGCCAGTCGTATGTGAGAGGCGAGCACCACTCCAAAGGCTGTGCAGGTAGAGCTGCTACGCATGCAGACTTGAAGGGGATAAAACTGAACAAAGAAATGCAACTTCCTGAAAAACAAGCAATTATTCTTTACTGGCTTGCCAATTCACTTGTGGTCAATGCGTCTTTGCAAACTGGCTGCTGCTCAGCTCACAAAATCCACTTGTCCTTCAGTAATCATGAGGGTGAAACCGCCCTCCTCTGCCTGATTCTGTATTTTCTCCCTGCAATTAAATGTGACATGCACTTGCAGTAAATATTTGTGCAGTCATAGCTCACATATGATAATCACCAAAAACCAACTTCATCAGGGAACGTATATGAATTCGTCTAGTCTCTAGCTAGGCTGATATTTGTAATCTAATACAAATTCATTAAAGCCAGGAATTTAACAGACTAAGAGCAAAAAAAGAAGTTACCCCTACTTTTAATGGAAAAAGATAACTGTGTTACACATATACTGAGGCAGAGTTGATAGGCTGAATTTAAGAAATAATCTGATTGCCACTAGATGGCACATCTCAATTACTAATCTGCATTTGAATTCAGGATTGTTTTAAAAAAAAAAAAATTCCCTCTCTTTGCTAACATAACATTTTATAATCATGCTTGCTTTCTATTTCTAAATCAGACAGCTTTAAAAAAAAAGAACACATAGGAAAAAAAGAATTTTTAACTAAAAATACACCATCTGCCAGTGAAAATCTAGCTTGATTCTGTCACATCTACAACCAAACCAGGTTAATAACCAGCATCACAGATGGTTTCTTTATATGAATATGTGCATCTCCCCATAGTGACTCTTTCAGCTGCTTCCTGAAACTGCTGGCACTGCGTTACCTCGTTTCCTAGGCGATAGCTGTGCCTTACACTCAGTCTGGACGTTATGCAGCTGGAATGGATTTCAGAAGATGCCATCCCCTGCCTGTGGCTGTTTCCAATACCAACAAGGGATGCAGCGGTGGACAGCCATGTCTCTACCAAAGAACAGCAACAGATGGATATTAATGCATTCTCGTGCAGCTGGTCTTTTCCTCAGATGATCAAATCTGCTGGAGGGTTCTTTTAACTTGCCCAAATCCCCGCATAAGGCTACATACCAAATATCGTGGTGACCTCAGTACGATAGCATAGGGCTGTAGTCAGAGCAATAAAGGTGGAATTTGATCTTTCTGCAGCATTCAACAGTATGAACTGACAGAAACCACTAACGTACAAACAACAAAACCATTGTGGGGTCCCATGTTCATTCTCACTCGGTAGTTATGTATCAGGGTCTCCTCCATCAGAAGTGGTTGTTTCCTAATTCTCCTATGTCCAAGCTCACTTGAGATGAATACTTGAGCTGGGTTCTGTTCTTGTTATATTACCAGCACTGAAACGTGTTTCAGACCAAACTGCAAACCTATTGCTACCACTTTGAAAACAGGTACCTGCCACCTTCCAGGAAGTTCCACAAGCATCAAACCTGTTAAATAATGATACAGAGAACAACAGAATTAAATTCACTTCTTCCTGGTTCTACTTCAGTCATCTGAAAACCTATGGAAATGAAATTTATTATAATGACTAAGAGTGTGCTACTCTGTGGCACAGAGTCTAAAGCTTCTCGGGAGCTCAGGGGCAGTGGGGTTTAACGTAAACTAGGCTGGCCCATGCAGAACTCTGAACTACTTGGACCAAACTTCCATGACACAAGCCCCCTTCATACAACAGTGAAGGCTGAAAGATCATAATTAAAACCAGTTTATCATTTCTAAGTGTATAATAAAAAGCATTTGAAAGAATATCCTAAGAAACAGAGTAACAGAGTCCAGGACTAGGACTCCCATAGCCATGAATGGAGCTTAAACTATGACACCGATATGAGTGATAAAAATCAATTCACTGTCTACGTTTGGGCTCCAATTTATGAATACCTGTAAAATGGGAGTCATGATAGATATCTGAAACCACTCTGAAATCTGCTAATGATCTGTTTAAATACTGGATACTATTATAAATTAATTGAAACCAACATCTTTCCTATGGTCTGCTTTACAATCAGATGTCGAGTTCGTTCATGTCTGGGTTCAAACAGCTGATTTTAAGATGGCAGGCTCCATCCTACTGTACCATTCAATCTTGTTAGCAGTGTGTTATTTTGGAAGGAGTGAATTTAATTTGTGAAATAGTCAGAAAATTGCAAATAAAAGTAACTGCCTTCATAAAAATAGTATTTTTAAATGGATATACAGTGTGTAAAGTCTTAAACAGCCAGTTGCAGTGTGTGCAATCTGTCAATGAAACAGAACAAACACTGATTTCAGGCTTGGCTTTATGAAACTATGACAGGGTAAGGAGTGCCCACTTACCATTCACTTCCATCTGTCTTTCAAAACACTGAAAAAGTGTTTTCAAATGATGAGAAGAACAATCACTGCCCTGCACTCCAGGCAGGAAAGTACACTAATTCATTAATGGCAAACTGTACCTGCAGAAGTAAATTAATCAAATGTATACAATAGCAATTTCTGAGTTTAAAGCTTCACCATTTAAAACTCAACTTCTAGAAACCTCACTGCACACACAGAGATAAATCTTTATTTTAGGGGAAAAATGAAATTATCAAAGCAGTTTCACTTGTTTTTGCATACAAAGAAGGCACACCCGCACATTTTTATACTCATGAACTTGTCTTACAAGTGCCTTGAAACAAATGGTGAACAACTGTTGCTGGGATATTCAGCAACATTGCATTTGGGGCTTACAGTGTTAACTGCAGCCAGCATGTCATCCCACACCACCACCACCGCTGCCAACTGCTGGCTGACCAGTACAGGGCTGTCTTCTTCCTCAAATTTCAGTACTCGGTTCTTAAAGAGTTCATTTACTTTAAGGCAAAACACAGGCCACTATGATGCTTCTTGTGAATATTTTAATGAAAACAGAGGACCGGCTGTTCAGATTCAGTCAAGAAACCAATGCTGAAATGACAACCCTAATACTAGGGATAGTACAAAACCGGCAGATTCAGCCACCCATTTTTAATTTTTTTTTTTAAAGTCTATTCTTGCCATGCCTTCCCATTCTAGGACACCAGGAACTACTAATTGTGCACAGTTTGTTTACCTGTTGCTTTAAATCTTGTTTAGGCATTGGCTTCACTTCTTACAGAAAGGAATAACTCACTCAAGAATTACAATAAAAATGTGACAAAGAATAAAGTAAGGATTGAGATCTTTGAGTTCACAGTAGAATAACGTACTTTCTTGTAACTTTCTTTTGCAGGACTGAAACAGACAGTAGGTAAAATTCTTCAAAGTGCCCTAGCTACTTTGGCACCTACATGTCATTCACAGAAGAAAATTAAAGCACTTACACAAACAGGATTAAATCTCCTAAATAAAACACAATGACTCTGAAAATTTTAACTAGTGATACATTAGCGTAAGAGAAGCATAATTCCCTTCAGTGATTTTGAATTTAGTCCTAGTGCAGAGTAATTCAAAATTACATAGCAAGTCAGTGTCAGGATAACGCAAGTTATCTAATACTATCCTTACAAAACAAAACAAACAAACAAAAAACCCAACCCCAAAACAATACTTAGATCTGCCTACATTCATAATTAGGACCAATAACTAATAATTGCTATGTTGAAGAATCACAATTGTCAGAGTAAAATTCAGTACAGTGTAAAAAGCCTGGAAAGGTTTATTCTCCATACTGTATCTCTGCTCTTAGCTCTTTGGAGAGGTAAGTTACCAGCACGTCTATCAAATTCTGCTGGACACTAGGATTTCTCATTACAAGAGCAGTCAGCTGAACAATATCAGTCCAGTCTAAGCGCCTGAGAATAACAACGGCTTTGTCATAAAGTTTCTGCTGCTCAGCAGGAGACAATTCCAATAAAATCTGAGGGACCGGCCTGAACTGTCCAGCAGTCATCCAGGCACCAAGCAATCCACCGAATGCTCCTCCTAGAAAAGAGAGAGAGATGTTACTCTTTACCAGATAATGTTAAAACCTGAAATTCTATCCGCCGCCTTCATCAACAACGTTCCCACCTTTATTAGAAATCAATGCAGAGTTGCATATGTGTCTACTTTAACTAGGTTTATACACTACGTTCAAAGCACCAAGAAGGATTTTTAAAGCTTTTTACATCCACAGCAATCAAAGCTATAGCTTTGAACTAGAAATCAGAAACAAAATAGCGCTCCTTAGGGCACTGGCCTCTTTAGTGTAAACTCTACTACTAAATAAAACCATGCCCAAGGAAAACATCTGACCAACAATTGCCTTATCAGTGCCATTAACACATAATCTCTTACTAGAGATTCCCAGAATGATCCAAGCTTTCTGCTTCTGAAGTCCACCCCTCAGAAGGTGCTCAGATACCAAACCCATCAGCTTCGTGGGGTTAGACACATTCATGCTTTCATCTACCAAATCAACACCCCACCCACACTGCCCACCCCAGCTGGCCAAGAAATGCTCTGGTAATTAGCGTGGTTCCAGGTCATCAAGATAACAGCAGAGGGATCCTCTACAGCTGACATCATTGTGGCTGCCGCTGAGAAACCAGCGCTACACTCCTATGGTTTTTCTCTTTCAAAGAGGTACCAGTCTAACTTGCAACGCAGCGCGCTCTGACAGAAACTCACACGACTGACACCACTGCCCAGACACACAGACATCCTGGTGGAAGGAAGGAGAACCCTCACAATGCAGTGGCGTCAGAAATGACTCTGCTTCCAAAATTCCACCCCAGCGACTGCTCCTAAAAAGTCATTTATGCACTCACAGGGATGCAGTTTTTCATTAGATAAAAATTCCTTAATTTGCACATTTTACTCAGTTGGCAAATTTCCCATGATGCCACAGAAATACTTGAAAGCTTGTGATGGCTGAATTCATCTTCAAGAACTTTTATGAGAACATCAATATCTGATTTAGGGGCACTTAATGCAAAAGCCACTTGAATTATTGATGTCCAAGTTCCTAGTTTATTGAGACAAGATTTGTTACATGATCACGCTTTCCCCCCCCAAGCAACACATCCACAATCCATTCTTCTCAGAACAAGTAGTCCTTAGAAAGCACGATACACTGCAAGTTTCTCCAGTGACCACTGCAGATGGAAGGTAATTCATCCTCTAATTCTTGGTGCAAGGCAGCAATAAGGACAATCCCTGCTATCTGGTCTCACACTTATCCAGGCTGTTTGTGTAAATGAAAGTGCACTTGATTGCAAACATCCCTGTAACTGTCCTAAAACCCACTAAAGACCTAGTGTCATTTACTTTTGCAATTTTTGAAGTTAAATGAGAGGGTCTTCTGATTTATTTGCACTGTAATCGGGACACGGCTTTTGGTATACTTATTATACTTATTATTGTATACTCTTGGTATACAGTAATAGGTAAACTTGTTCCAGTGCCTTCATCAGTGGCTGAAGAACACCGAGCTTGACTGGGAGACATTATGAAAGCTTAAACAAACACTTAAACAAAATGAGAAAACACATCCAAGAATAACTTCAGTGTTTCTCATCATCTCACTGAAGATTGAGGCCACTTAAATTTTTACTTCTGATTTACGGCTCACAGATTTCTTACAAAACCTTAACTTCACTTCTTTGTTCCTGACAACTTCAGTCATATGTTTGTCAAAATATTATTTTTGGCTATTAATTAAGCTCTGTACTTGTAACAGGAGTAAATACACAGCTTCATTCTGCATTTTCTGTTATCACTCCTCACATATTCTTTGCTTATTTTTTGTAACTCAGCCTTGCTAACCCTCACGCAGGCATACTGCAATTAACTCCAATACCAATAAGCCCGTGAAATTGCTGGAACTGCTTGCAGGAGAAAGAAGTGTTCAAGGACCAAGGCCCTCATGACTTCAGTGACAAGGCAGCTTTCACTGCCTTGAGACAGTGAGAGACAACTCTTTACTATTAGACTCTGGCCTTCCTGTAATTTTCCATACAAGGAAAAAAAGCAAAGTGACAGAGAATAACTAATTCCAGAGGAAAAAGCAAGTTCACCAAGAAGTGGATAGCAGGTACTTTTAAAATACAGAAATAAACATAATTTTTCATAAGATCATTATAAAGATGATCCTGTCCCTTGCTAAGGCTGACTAAGAATACTTATTCACCCTCACTTTACACCGCAATTTTCTTTCTTCTGTGCCACCAGGTACCAACATCCCCCCCGACTGCTACCGTTGCCTCTTGTGTTCCTTCGCCCCTGCCTCACCCCTCTCCTCTTCCCTCCCCCAGCCGCAGTGCTGGAGCAGAGCCTGCACTAACAAGCTCAGAGCCTGTTAGTTTGCTCTCTGTTTCATCCCACACCTCGGACACTGGTGTACCTCAGCAGATGGCAACCAGGGCTCTGCCCACCAAAAGGAAACGATTTGTTAACAGCTTGTTCAAAGGGTTCCAAAGGCACCACTATCTCAGCTCAGACCTCTGGACGGCTTCCCGTTTGCCACACAGGAGTCAAAGTCAGCAAGGTCACTACCACCCTAGAAGGAACCACTGACACACGCCTTTCTGATGCACACCTCGTTTCTAAAAAGCCAGCATATAAAATGGCATCTTGTTAAAGCCCACTTACATGAGATCTCAGCGCTGCACGCCCCTTTCTTTCAATCCATACCAACTACACAGACCTAGTTTCTTCACTAGGCAGTTAACCTAGTGTGGCAGTTAACCACACTTCTTGTTCCTAAAGCAAAACACACTTACCTACAGCAATTCCAGCTGGACCTCCCATCAGACCCCCAATAAGTGCTGTTCCACCCGCCAGCAGTGCTCCTCGACCAGAGTGTTTCACAGCAGCTTTCATCCCCTTCACCTGAGAGAGATGGCAGAACAGTTGCATCACATCATCAATGTGGATGGGCATCTTGGCGAGTTAAGATCCTGGAAAAGATGTTTTAAGTTATTTTTCGATCGCTCCAACAGGGACTAAATCTTGCTGCTAAATGAATTTTAGGGAAAAAACGGAGTTCAGGAGTCTGTGAGACTAAAAGGACAGAGGCGTAGTCAATACAGGAAAAAATAAATTCACCTTCTCTTTCACTTCTGGGAAAATGAAACCAATTTGCCAACAGCTAAAGGATGCTGAAACTGCAAATGAAACCACACAGTAGACCAGAAAAACCTGGTTTTATGACAAATTCAGAAGACCAAACAAGGACAAGTACCAGCAATGAGAGACTTCAGAAAGTTTCTATCTAATTCTACAATACATTGCCTTTGCCTTGAGTAATTGCCGTGTGCATTCAGCATTGCGCACAGCTCCGGGAAGAAGACAAAGCAGAGCCTCAATCTACCGCAACTAGAAGACTGTAATTGACAAATCTGTCAGGTATTTTCTCCTTGTCCTAATTCTTGCCACAAATCAGTTGTTTCTTTTCACATATCAGTTCTTCTCCCCGTTTTGTTACATGCTTAAATGTTTCCATGCTGATTTCTGAAGGCAGGAAGCTGTCTATAGCAAGCAAGGAGAGCCTGAGAAAGGGAACAAATTTCAGGAGTTGGAGGAGAGACCTGGGACTGGGAATAAATGGGGAGCTCTGGAGACAGGGCATCAGAAATGCAGGGGTTTATGTGTACAGCGGTTGGGACTCAGAACAGATACGCGAGACAACTCTTATGCATATGAGGAGGCAGAGAGATGGGACCTCATCCCCCTTACACGCAGTGACAAGTCCCCAGCATGGGGCAGATACCTGCCCCCAAAAATGATCCCTTTGAAACCAAACCTTTTCCACCTCATTCACTTGCTGCTGCTGCCTATCTAAGCCCACTCCTTTCCGTAAAGGCCCATAGAGAGCGTGGCTACCCATCACTGCTGCCGCAGCCACTGCTGACAAAAAGGGCAGCGGGGCATGCCCGGGTGAAGGTTCCAGCCCCCATTCCTGCCGGCACAGGAAGCCTGCACTGAATGCAACTGAATGCAACCCCGAGAAAAGGCACATGAACATGACCTAGTTAGAAAAACCCAAAACCTAATACAGGGCACCTTTTTGGAATTTCTGCATATTAACTATTCTTTTCCCCAGGTTGCTTGCCTTGTCACAGCAGGTAAATGAGGAGGCATAACAGAAGCAAACACGTGCCTCGGAGTTGCAGGTGCCAACAAGTGTAGTGAGCAAGAAGAGAGGCTGCATGAAGAAACAGTACGGCTTCTCTGCTTTACAAAAGAAAAGATTCTACCTGAAGAAAAGGATTTTACCCCTTATTTTGCACCTAATGTTTGCTTGTTGTTAAGCCAGTCACTTGAATCAAACTTTTTAGAAATGGTTACTACACTCTAACTTTTCCAGACACCCATCCTGCAATCTCAGAGAGAGATCTGCAAAAATGTTGACCCCTCAAAATAAGAACTGAATTCAAATGCAGCTCTGCTTGAGTACAGTGTTACACAATGCCAACCACTGAAAAATCCATCTTTGGCTTTCAGTTTGGCAAAGCAAGTGGATACTTTTGACTTTAACAACTATTTTAATGTTACGGGAACAGACAGAGATACTAAAAGTATCCTCATTTCGCGTTGCAAAAATAGGTTCAATACTAATGAAAGACACTGATTCAGACCAATGAGATCAGAGAAAACCCATAAAGTGAAATTAAGAAACTCCATCCCCATAGCAGAGTTGGAGGAGTGCTCAGCAAATAAGGCCTGGGGACTGAGCACTGAACAGTAAGAAAAAGCTTGCTCATTAAGCAAATACCTTCCATTCTGCACACAAATTGAGGAAAGGGCTTGCAGGGAAAAAAAAAAAAGAAAAAAGTATTCAATATGATTAAAAATATGATCACATATACACAGAAGGCACAGACTTATTGTTGTACATGTAACGTTAGCACTATCGAACAGATGAGTGTGTGGTTTTCCAGCCTCTAGAACACTTTTCATCCCAGTGCGTGTGCAACACTTTCTCAGCCCAAGCCAACTTGTCTTCAAATCTTTCTTGAATAGATCTCCCCAGTGCAAAGTGAATGTGGAGTGGTATCACACAATTTTTCATACTAAAAATTAACTACTGTGAAAGTGAAAGCTTTCTTTTGCAGTAAAATGGCTGATTCCAAATCATCTGTGTCACCGCAGTATCCAAGCACTGCTGACACTAAACAAAAACCCGGTTTTTGGGAAGGCACCACATGTGCTCCATAGCTGCAGGGAGGCACAGTAGGAAATTCATCATATAGTTGCATTTCTCTCACTACTTCATTCATGCCAGCCTAAGGAAAACATCAAAGTTCTTAATTCTACCACCGTTGCTTTTGGGTTTTTGACAGGCTTATGACACAGCAGTGTATCAGAATGGCAGTGCGTGCTGGTTAGTGACAGCAGAATGACACACACTGCTTCCAGAGTTATGTATTATCTCATTCAATATGATTCAAGCTCAAAGTAGTAAACAAATGGCTGCTTCATCCATCCTAGAGCAGTATGAAAAAAAAAAACCACAACCAAAATATACAACTGGTACAGCTCACACTGTCAAGGGTGGTAATGTTGGAAAATGAGAAGATTAAGTATTTGTTTTTACCTTCTTACAAAAGGTGAGCAGATTGCCATTCAGAGTAACATTCACACCAGCACCAAGAAGCCTTAAGTGCTGCAGGATTCAGTTCCTCCCCTCAGTGAGACGGGAACTGATTCGTGCTTGTCCTGCACCTCCTTAGCACGACCTCAGACTAACCCAACCGCCTAAGTGCTGAAATGAACTTGCTTCTTCTCTTTGGGCTAAATCCAGGGAACGTCTCATGCAATGCTCTTCAGTATGAAGGCTCTGCGGCATGGATGGGACAACACAAGTTGGAGAGCTGACAACACAACACGGCTCTCGCCGAGAGTAATATAATCTGCTTTCCCCCAATCAAACTGACTGACTTCCACAATTTCCTAAACCAATCTAATTGTAATATACGTGAAATGATGTTTTGTAAGCAAAGAACCCAAAGCTGAAGCATCAGGTTCCTGCAGTGCATAGAAGCTGGCTGTCCACAGACAGGCACCCGCATTACTCCATCCACCACACTGCCAATACTAGGAAGTTTCCTTACAGTGATATGGCATCTCGAGCAGTGCAAATGTGATCAGCTACGCTGGGGTTTCTCTGAATAAATAAGAAAATGCTTTCACAACTAGATTCAAAGTGCAATTGGCTTAAGAGTGAAAAAAACCCAGACCATAATGAAAACCGGAATCACACTGCTATGTGGTGGCATACAAAGTGTGGCAAACGCACAAATTTCAATAACGTATTAGTCTCAAGGTAAAGCAGAAACATATTGGAACGCAAGTGAGTGTAAGTATTTTTTGCATAGTAAATTATTTTACTGCTTTACTCCCCTCACAACTTCCCCAAAGGGAATTTCCACTCACAAAATTAACGCTTATTTGGGGTTTTTTGGGTTGATTGAAGAAGGTCCTTGGCACAGCAGAGCCATTCCTG